GCCTATCTCCAGCTTAGCGGCTCTCTCACGGGTCGCCAAAAAAAACTTGGCCTCTGCACTGTTTTCAAACAGGCAGCCTATCTCCAGCTTAGCGGCTCTCTCACGGGTCGCCAAAAAAAATTTGGCCTCTGCACTGTTCTCAACAGGCAGCCTATCGCCAGTTTAACGGCTCTCTCACGGATCGCCAAAAAAGCTTGGCCTCTGCACTGTTCTCAAACAGGCAGCTTATACCTCAAGTTTAAAGACTCTCTCATGGGGTCGCCAAAAGCTAGGTCTCAAAAAGTGTAGCTCTCTCACGAGCAGTTCTCCAACTCTGTCTTTGCTCTCGCGCAAGCAGCCCACTTCTCTCTCTCCAGGTAATTATGTGAGATATTTTAATGTTTGGAATAACATTATTTTTGTCATCACAAGTAGGTTCTCTCGAGGCAGCCCCAGGCTCACCCAAGGCGCCCAGCACCTGGAGAAGGGCTTGATCATCAAGAGCAGCACCCAAAGGTTCCTTACTACTTGCAATGTCTAGCCCAATGCCTAGAAGTGTGCCTGACTGCTGTTGCTCGTCAAAACAAACTTGCCCAGTAGCTTGAAGGCTGTCTGGCCCTTCAAAATTGCGCAAAGCAGAATTTTTGGCTTAAAAATCAGCACCTAAGACGCCCAAATCAGCACCTCGAGTGGGAATCGGATCAGCCCATACTCCCAGGCCACTGCCTAGCTCTCCCTGACGAACCTTGGACTGATTTTCAGCGCCCCTTGATGAAAAAATGCTGCTGCCCAGCGTTCCAAAGCCGCCCAGCGCAGCAGATCTGAAGCTGTCCAGGATGCGAGGAGCAGAGCCTAGGCAGCCGCCCAGGCCCCCAGCGCGCGCGCTGCCCAGCTGCGCGCCTGCGCTGCCCAGCCCAACGCTCCTGCGCAGCCTGCGCTGCCCAGCGCGCCTGCGCAGCCTGCGCTGCAGCCCAGCACGCCTGCGCTGCCCAGCGCACCTGCGCTGCCCAGCCCAGCACTCCTGCGCAGCCCAGCCTGCGCTGCCCAGCCCAGCACGCCTGCGCAGCCTGCGCTGCCCAGCCCAGCGCGCCTGCGCAGCCTGCGCTGCCCAGCCCAGCACTCCTGCGCAGCCTACGCTGCCCAGCACGCCTGCGCAGCCTGCGCTGCCCATCCCAGCGCTCCTGCGCAGCGCAGCGCGCCTGCGCAGCGCAGCGCGCCTGCGCAGCCTGCGCTGCCCTGCCCAGCACGCCTGCGCAGCCTGCGCTGCGCGCGCCTACGCTGCCCAATCGCGCTCCTAGCCGTCTCCCTTTCTTCAACCTCCACCACTCCCTCTTCAAATAAAATGGGAAAGATTTGAAGTTTAAAAAAAAAGAGAAAAGAAAAAAATGTAATCAATGCCTCCTTCTCCAAGTCTCCTTGGACATGGGGCATTGGGGGGCAAATGATGGGTTAAGCCCAAATAGTCCAATTTATGTGTTAAAGTCCAACCCCATTTGAGGAGCCCAACCTCATTGTGATTCTACCAAGCCCAAGACAATCCAAGACCGGTTAGACCTCTTGCTTAGCACGTCACCAAGAGACCACCAAGACCAAGACGGTCCAAGGTCGGTTAGACTTCTTGCTTAGCACGTCACCAAGAGGAGAGCACGGGAAGTTTATCTACACCGCCTTAAGGAGCCCAAGGCCGGTTAGACTTCTTGCTTAGCACGTCACCAAGAGGAGAGGACGGGAAGTTTATCTGCACCACCGAAGGAAGAAAACGGTCCAATCATTGACCACGTTTCATGAAGAGCTCCCTAACCTCTTCCTTCCGTGGAGGATAAGTCGCGATCTCCACCAAAGATAATCTCTAAGCTGCGATAAAGAAGCCTTGAGGATATGTCATGATCTCCACAAGAATGATCTCTTAGCTACTATAAAATGGCTCTAATCCGGGAGAGGAAGGAGGGGCTCCATCAGAGACTTACAGGAGACGAACCGACTACCGGAGATTATTATTTTTCTTTGATTCTCCATTCCCCCTCTCAACGCTTGTATCTCCATTCTCCATACCTTTGAATCAATAAAATACCCGGCGACTGAAGCCATTGAAGAGTGGACGTAGGTCGAATTGACCGAACCACTATAAATTGTGTCTTCTTCAATTATTTCGTTGATTTCATTGCATTTATTATCTATACTTGACAGGTGGTGTGCAAAACCATTTTTGTGCATCATCAAAGAGTGTCATCATTATATGTGGCAACAATATAATATAATCTATTTTTAAAATTGTATATCATCATTCTTTTCTAACTCGTGAGTATAAAGAATTTTGGTGAGATATGTTTGATTGTGTCATCTTTGATATATCCTTCCTTGATTTGTGAGATACAAATATTAGCATGCCTTTGATTGAAGGTAGTCTACTTTGTTGTTGAATATATTGAATTATGTATCTTAGTCAAATATATTTTTGACTTGCTTTATGGATGACTAATATTTCGGAATGATTGGATGATATAGGAACCGTTATTTGCTTAATCGATTTCCATGATATAGTTCTACAATCATAAGTAAACACATATCTAGTTTGTGATTGAGTTTTGGGAGGATCAAAAAGATAACTGACATTTGTATATTCAATTAACTACGGACTTTGGTCATTCACATAGAATAAACCCATGTTGCAGAGATACCACAATACATGTTTGATCCTATTCCAATGTCTTCGAGTTGGTGCTGACATCATTCTGAGGTGGAACCCAAATAACCTCGATATGACAATACTGAGGTCATGAACGCTCACGTGTACCACCTTTCCCTCTCGCTATGTTTAGGAACACTGTGCCAGTGTAGAATGTAGTACGGGGACCACTGTGACATATACAATTTTTAGGAGTTAGTATAGGATAATTTATATTTTTTTTTGGTAATCGGACGATTCGGATGAGGAAATTTATGTTGGTTATCATACTATGTTTTTGGTGCAGCTGTGGATTCATTATTTTGATAGACAAATTCTAAATCTTGGAACTCAATTTCTTCTTCTTTTTTAAGGACTGAAATGTTACAGTTTGTAGTAGTACTTGTAATGGTTGTAATTTATCTAATCTTTGAGTAATTTCCTCTAATAATTCAGTTGCATTATTTTTTTTACTTTCCTATAGTAAAGGTTGGGTTATCATATGATTTAAAAATGGTGTATCATCTTTTTTTGGTACAATTTAAATTTTCTATACGAACTAATTGTTCCCCTACGGTTTGGAGATATTGAATTTCAAAACCCAATATATTTTGTCATTTAGGGAAGTTGGTTGTGCATACTTACGCCATTTACTCATGGATTGAATAGTGTCCCCTAACCGAATGTCTAGATTCTAAATTATTTTCAGTTTTAGATGTCTTAATCCGGATTAAACTACAATGAAAACCAAGGAAGTCCCGACAGGTTGTTGTTGAGATCATGCTAAAACCCCATCTGAAAGAAAAAATACAACATTTAAGTTGTAAAAATAGCTTGTTTCACAGCAATTAAACAAACATTTTTTTTACTTTCGGACTATGATAAATTTGTTTGCATTGAGACTGTTATACAGAAAGTGCTCTTTCATATACTATATAAGAAATCATTTTCCTTTACTTAGGCATATCAACCACAGCGTTTAAACATGTGATAGCACAGAGAAAATTAGTTTTAACTTTTAACCATGTGGTGTATTTCAAGTCTCAGGAATAAATTCCAACAGTTTTAACGCAGCACCCAAATAATTCTAAAACATTTCTCACCAAATAGATTGGGCAAAGAGCTTGGGTTAACTTTACTGTCAAAGACAAATTTAAAGGAGCAATCTACTTGAGGCCATTTTCTTATAGTGAGACAACCCAAGTGGAATGTTTTAGCCCTATCCTATCCTATCCTATCCCCTCTCTCTCTCTCTCTCTCTCTCTCTCTGTGTGTCTACTCTCTATCTCATACAAAAACTCAGCAACCAAACAAATCATGTAAATCCCTTTTTGCACTGTCTCTGTCAATGAATTCTGGCTGGCAAATGAATTGAATCTCCTACTATCAAAGGGGGCATGAAGACATAGGAACAACGGAAGGAAGACAATCTAGTATAAAACTAGTCACATGAGTAGGACTAACTGCATAAAGAAACAAAGAGCAACAAACAAGTGGCGGGTGACCTATTTGCTTCTCTTCATATAAAGATGCGACAAAATGCATTGCAACAGATTCTAAACAAAGTGACTAATCTAAATGCTTTAGCACAGAGACACAGATTATACCCAAACAAAGAATTAAAAAAAAAAAAAAAAGCTAACACCGAGAAAGTCACATTTCAGTGAGGAGTTGTGAAAAAATCTTCAGTAAAGATATGTCATTCCTATAGAGCATTAGACAAAATTAAAGCGATGGAGACCAGGTTGAATTGTGCTGTATTATACATTCTTGATAAGGTAGTGTTTAAGGTTTACATGCTCTAATTTCTTTATGATTAGCTAAAATTTCCAAGAAATGGTCTGTTTAAATTCCGGGTCCAATTATATTTCACTGTAAAAAACAAATTTCATCTATGAGAACCGAAACCCACACAAGCACTTTTACCGCAAATTTACAACAGAGAATTAAAAATGTTCTTCCCATTAGTTTACATTGCTGCACCTATCAACAACAAAAGGTTGTAGTTTTCGCAAAACCCAGAGAAGAAAACAAGTAGCAAAAAATGATTTCAAAATTGCCTGTAAAATTTTGTTCAATCATCTCTATTCATTTTGCTTTTAAATTTCTTTTCAATCATTCTTTCACAATCCAATCTTTCACTTAAAAAACAGAAAATAAAAATGCATTGTACATTAAAATAATGAATCTAGCATTCAAGATTAATTGTAACTAGCAAAATTCTATTGTAGCGTTTAAGATTGAAATGAGTCTCAAACAGAGAGTAGTACATTGAAACAGAAAACATTCTACTATCATATTAGCAGCTACAAAAATCATACCAATAAGGCCATAAGACCATATATCCAAGTGCATAAAAAGGAAAACAAAGAAGTAAAGAGAACACACTTGAAAGAACTCGAGAGGAATGCAATAAATTTATGAAACAACATAAGCAATACTCTTCACAATTAATGCCAAGAATCAGTTTTGATGATCCCAACCCCCTCTTGGCGTCTGCAATCACTACTTTACATCTGCACTCACCGTTCAACAATAAGGAAGATAGAAGTCTTTCATTTGAATTTCCACTTCAATAGCTTCTTCTATAGTACTTTCATGTCTCTGGCTTTTTTCTACGCAAGTGTTTCAGGTTTTTGGGTATCAGTTGCTGGTTTATCTTCTTCTGTTTTATATTTTTGGAGCTCTGCAGCTAGTTTTTCTTCTTCTGTTTTCGTCTCATCAGGCTTTTCAGGTTTTGGGGCCTCTGTAGCTGGTTTTTCTTCTTCTTTTTTCTTCCCTTCAAGCGTTTCAGGTTTTGGGGCCTCCATAGCTGGTCTTGCTTCTGTTTTCTTCTCAGGTGTTTTAGGTTTTTGCGTCTCTGTCTCTAGTTTATCTTCTGTTTTCTTCTCCTTAGATGTTTCAGTCCCTGAAGCTGGTGCTACTTCAATTGCTTTCTCTGATTCAGCCTTCACATAAGCATCATGAACAACTGGTGCAGGGGTTTCAGATACATCAATAGCTTTAACAGACCCTGATGGCTCCTGTTTGAGCTCCAATGAAATCTTATCATTTTCACCTGAGTCTTTCCCTTCTTCGCTCTGCAAAACCGCACAATGCAACCTCTGATTAATAATCCAGAGGGCATAGAAGGCAAGTGGTTTCAATCATTTGATAATCTCTGACTAACAATTTCATTAAGTCCTATCATGAGCTCAAATTGTCTAATTCCAAAGGAAAATACCATTCTTTTGGTAAGCGACAACTGTTTTTATGTCCTTTTTTCATGTTTAGCAATGTAACTGCCTATGTGCTGAAAAATTGGTAATTTTGAGAGCTATAATCCAGATCTTGGGCATAATAATACTTAAATATGTTGATGTTAAAGTGGGAGACAAAAAAATCTGCTGTCCTGATGAATAAAGATGCAAAAGAATAAGATAAAAGTGAGTGGAATTTATGAAGGTTCAATAGTTTCACACCATTGGGTAGATCTCAAATTAGAGATTTGAGACCCCATTGATCAAACTGGTACAATTTATCATTGAGGAAAGTTGAATGTGTTTACCTAAGCCATTTATTTATGGATTCAGTAGTATATACCAACCGAATATCTTGATATTGCATTATTTCCAGTTCAAAATTTCTTAATCTGAGCTCAAATTACAATGAAAATGAAGTCTGTCCAGGCTGACAGGTTGTGAAGATTACAAGTACACATATGATGAACCTGCATCTGGAAGTTAAAATATAACATTTTAGTCGAAAAACATGTGGGTTTCAAAGCAATTAAATGAACCTTTTTTTTTTCATTCTCATACTTCATTAATCGGTAGATGTGTTTGCATTAAGATTGTTCAAGAGAATCTGCGCTTTTGTATAGAATATACACAACCGTTTTCCTCCGGCATATAATCTACCACAGCAATTAAACACATGATAGCACTAAGATCATTAGTTAACCACATGGAATACATTAGTTAACCACATGGTTTATTCCAAATCAAAAATGAATTATACTATAAAAACAGTTTTAATGCAGCACCCCAATATTTCGAAACATTTCTACCAACATGCATGAGGCCATTTTCTTTTAGTAGCATTCACTAGAATAATAGCTGAAGTGAGGCAACCCCCGTGGGAAGTTTTGTTTGCACTCTCTCTCTCTCTCTCTCACACACACACACACACAAACACAATACAATAAAATCTGGAACCAAACAAACCATGGTAAAACTCTTTTTGTACTGTCCCTATCAGTCAATTCTGTTTGGCAAATGAACAGAATCTCTACCTATCAAAAGGACATAAAGAAATAGGAAACAACTGAAGGCAGACAATCTTGGTATTAAAGCATTCCTATCAGTAGGACTAACCAAAGAAAGATACAAAGAGCAACAAACAAGTGGTGGGTCCCTAGCAAAGACTTGTTTGTTTGTCATCATATAAAGATGCAAATGAACTTATTGAAAGAGATTCTAACCAAAGTATTTGATCTAAATGCTTTAGCACAGACTACACCAAAACAGGAATAAGAAACAAGTTAACAGCGAGGTTGACACACTTGAGTGACGAGTTACGAGAATCTTTAGCCCACATATCATTCATTAAACAAAATTAAAGTGATGGACCATTGTGAATTATGCTGCACCACAAATTATTGATCAAATATTGATTAAGATTGACATGCTCTAATTTCTTTATGATTAGCTCAAATTTCCAAGAAATGGTCAATTGAAAATCAGGGTTTTAATAATGTCCATTTAAACAACGATTTTTTATCTCTGAATTTTGAAACCCGAAAAAGCATATTTACATCGTATTTATCATAGAGAATTAAACTTCGTTCCTCCCATGCTTCATTTATCAACAATAAAAGTTAGTTTTCACAAAACCAAGAAAAGAAAACAACAAATAATTCATAACTAATTAGGTCCTAATTAGAGATCTAATCCATTGTGCTAATTAGATTGGTATAGGAGTTCATTTAATACTTCACCCACTGTTAATCCAATAGCCCCAGTAAATTAGGGGCTCGTATTAGTTCACATATTAGGTCGCTAAATAAAAAATGATTGCTAATAAATTATGAGTTTAATTTTGTTTAATCCTCTGCTCATTCTTCTTCTAAATTTCCTTTTCAAGAACTATTTCTCATTCCAATCTTTTAGTTTCAAAAACATTAAAAAAAAAAAAAAAAAATGCATTATATGTTAGAATATTTTACCTAGCTTCAAGATTCATTTTAACTTACAAAATTATATCCCCTACAAGAGTATAGTATAAACGAACATAATACATGTAATCATAAATATGTACACAAACATTTACTGATAGAGAAATTGAATTTTGTTACCTCTTTGAACAGGTGACTGAGAGATCGGCGCCTGTTTCCGTTATCGTCAACAGTATCATCAACAACAATCTCCTTGTGCTTCTCACAAGCCACAACTTTTATTACCTCCTTCGCCGCTTCGGAAACCGCGGTAACCTCTTCCTTCTCCGGGGCCGATGCCGGAGCAGTGGCGGCTGTATCCGCCTTCAACTCCTTCGGCTTGCTCGCACATGCTCCCATTCTCTGTCTGAATATGCTAAATGTTCCCTCTCCCTATCTGTATTATAAGTGCCGTTACAGAGAGAAAGAGATTTTGAAAGGTTTTGCAGAGAAGTTGAAAAAGCTAGTGTGGGGTGTGTGTGAGAGAGGGAGAGAGAGAGAGAGAGCGCAATGAGCTGTGATGTTAGAGATTTTTAAGGCGCGAATACAGAGTTCGTTGTTCCGACATTTATTCTGCGTCGTGATGGGATTTTACTTAAAGCATTAGACAAGATCCTCATTGTAATTTTTTTATTGCACCAATGGTCCCTAAAATTTATTACTTATTAAACTTTGGTATCTAAATTTTAATTCTATCAATTTAGTCCTCAAAATTGAGACATTGGACAAATTTGGTCCCTCGCACTAACAAGCATTTAATTCACTAATGGAAAACAATCACGTGCATGGCATGTGACTGTAACTAAGGATAGTTAGGTCATTATCCACCATTCCTACATTCAAACACTCTTGATCCTTCTTTTAGGAATTTCAAACCAAGACCGAAACTCACTTCTGGGTTCTTTGGTTTGAATTTTTTAAAAATAATATTTGAAATAATTTTTAAGAATAATTTTAACGTTTTGATATTTTTTGAGATAAAAAACTTGTTTCATTAGATGATTTTAAAATTAATTTTATTAAATAGTAAAATCTGTTTAAACAACCTAAATATATGTTTGAACAGTAATTCAAAAATTAATTAAAAAATATAAAAAATATATTTTTAGATTGACAATTTCATAAAAAAAATTCAATAAACTAAATTTTAAAATAAACCAAACATATTCAATAATCTTCATCAAAAATAAAACCAATACAAAAAAAATATATCAATGACCTTTGTCTAAAATAAAACCAAACAAATTCAATACAAAAAAATAAACAAACACCAATAATTTTTTTCAAAAAAAAAAATTACACGGGAGAGCACTCACACCATCACACTATATGCATATATATATATATATATATATATATATATATATATGGAAGTTAGCTTTAATCCTTCGAAATGTCTTCCTGCAATTGTTAAACCACAGAGCTTTCCCATCATCAAGCTGCCATTTCCAATCAAGTATCAACTACCCATTATCATCATAAACCAGAGCAGCTCGAGTTCGCATAACAGATAAGCATCTCTGATCCTATCTCACCTTGAAACGCACATCCATAGGAAGCTGATCCAACCTAGAGAAGTCTGAAGAAAAATCAAATCTGAACCCAGATGTGCTGACATTGGAATCGACGTTGGAACCGACACAGGAGCAAACTCATATCTGAACCCATGTGTATTTCCTCTGGTCAGGCTTTTGCCGGAGTGTGGAGAAAGAAAGACAAAAGAGAGAAAAAGCCATACAAAATAGAGAAAGGCAATAAAATTGAAGGGGAGACCTTATTAATGAAGAATTGGTTGCTCGTGTTTCCATTTTTTTATCTGCAAAACACAGAAAACAGACTAGACTTGTTTTCCATTTTTTGTTTTTTACATCCATCTTTTCCTAAAAATTGGTGACTAAAAACCCAAATCAAACAAGTTTCTCTTATTTTTAAGAAATTTAAGATCAAAAAACTGTTTTCAAAATTCAAACCAAACATGCCCAGTACTATTTCTTCCTCCTCTCATTTTCAATTTTCTTTTCTCTCTCACACATACCACCCACATCAACAAAACACAAACCCACATAGAAGCCTGCCACACACTATTTTTTTCTCCCATTCTCTCTCTTTCCTTGCACAACACATATACATCAAAACCCAGTACCTCACACACCCACTGTCCCTCACAAGATATAATCAACACATACAACAATCACTCTATCTCTCTCCCTTTTCTCCAATTCTATCTCTTTCTATACACACCACAACGCAAATTTAATCCATTCATCCCAATTCCCTAAGACTAGCACCACCAATACGCCACTTCAACCACCACCTACAATCCAATTCAACCAACTATAGCCACAATAAAAAATTCAAAACTCATAATTCAAGTCCATTCAACATCCAATCATCACCCAATTTAGAAGTAAAAATAAAAAAAAATCAAATCCAAATCCCAATTATAATGTGTTTACACCTAGAATAGTAAAATCTAAGAGTGACATATGGAAGTGATGCGACGGTCATTAAAGAGTCAATGAGAGTCTAAGTGTAATAATACAGTTAAGGAAGTGGGACTTTAAAACTCCTAGAAAATGAGGAACCGTAACATTATGAATTGCCACCTAGAGACAGATCGGTGCACATCTACACATCTCGAGCGAAGATACCATGATTACAGTCATGGTCAAAAAAGATGACTTTAACATGTAGGGGTCATCTCTTATAAATAACAAAGGCAAGACTACCAGAAAAATGTTCCTCAATCAACACAATAACTTTACATAGAGCCAGTCTTTCTTTTACTTAACTTATTTTTCTAGCATATTTGTTTTTACTTAATTTATCACTCTGGTAATTTTTTCTTTCCATTTAATGTTAAGTACGATAGTCTTTTCATCTACTAAGTTTAGTTTCTCAGTTAGCTACTTTACATTTCATTTGTCTTTCTACATTCTAGTCCATTCTAATACAAATTGAAAAATTGTTTAAGTCTTTGATCCCTAAGGCATAGAAAAAATTCAAAGATAATCTTACGTCTTGCTACAATTGTTTGAATAATCACGATTTAAGAATCTCATGTTAATTTTAGTAGGTAATATCATACGTGTTTGGATATTAAGTCAAATTAAATTTTGGCATGCCCGCAATCTGAAAATACCCTAAACACAATGATAAACCAAATTAAAATCAAAGTTAAAGTTATAATTTGCAACAAAATTAACTTGACTTATCAATTTATACTTTGGGGTATTCAACAGTGGAATGGGGGTAGAAACGGAGAGACTAGATTGGGATTAGTACTCGACGAGAGAAGGTGAAGTAGTGGTAGTGGAGCAACAGATGACTCGTGGTGGAGCGTGGAGGCAGCATAGGGCAATGATGGTTATGTGTTGTGTGTTTATGAGAGAGAGAGAGATTGTACTGAACAGCGGAATGGGTGGGGATGGGGTGGCATTAGATGGGTGGAGGCGTAGTGATCGTGAAGGATGTTGGGGATGGCGAGGGGAAAAAAATAGAATAATAGTGGGAGTAGAATTGGAGAAGCGGAGTTCTCATGGTAAAACACAAACATCAAGGTGATGGTGGGGGCGTCAACTAAGAGAGAGGGAGACTTGATCGTAGTCGTGGGCGATCACCATAGTGAACGACGTCGACATGTTAAGGTTGAGAATGGGTCCAATTTTGCCTAATAGTAAAAAATAAATATATTTGTATTCACACCCAAAATTAAATCACAAACATAAATGAAAGAAAAAAAAATTAAGCACCGATTGTAGTAAGAATGAGCCGTGGTAGTAGTGGTGAACAACAGTGGTGGTAGTGAAAAACGGTGATCATTATGGTGGATGGTGATTACCGTGGTGGTGGTAGTTGTGGATCGCAATGATGATAGTGATGGTGGGTGTGGGCGATGATGATGGTGTTTGGCATTGGTGGAGGTGGGGTGATGATGGTGGTGGTGGGCGGTGACGACGGTGATGGTGGTGGGCGGTGACGACGGTGGTGGTGGGCAAAGACAAGTATTTCTAGACGACAGTGTGATGGCTAGTGGCAAATGACGAGCGTAGTTATGGTGGCGGTGGTGGTAGGTGTGGTAAGGGTGGATGACAATGGGTGGCAGCTGTGAAGACCCTGCCCCATTACCGGGACCCTGTCTTCCAAGGGTTAACCTCCCATTACCGGGATATCACCACCCTCCACCAAAGGATTTCGGCTAACCTGTGGGTCAAACCCCCACAGTAGCCTTTACCTCTGTCCCACATCGGGGAAAGAGTCGTCTCCCCACCCCCATATAAGCCGAAGCACCATATGAGAGCAGTACCCAAGTAACAGTGCTACTTGGGTACTGCTCTCATATGGTGCTTCGGCTTATATGGGGGTGGGGAGACGACTCCTTCCCCGATGTGGGACGGAGGTAAAGGCTACTGTGGGGGTTTGACCCACAGGTTAGCCGAAATCCTTTGGTGGAGGGTGGTGATATCCCGGTAATGGGAGGTTAACCCTTGGAAGACAGGGTCCCGGTAATGGGGCAGGGTCTTCACATAAAAGGCGCCTTTTATGTGAAGACCCTGTCCCATTACCGGGACCCTGTCTTCCAAGGGTTAACCTCCCATTACCGGGATATCACCACCCTCCACCAAAGGATTTCGGCTAACCTGTGGGTCAAACCCCCACAGTAGCCTTTACCTCCGTCCCACATCGGGGAAGGAGTCGTCTCCCCACCCCCATATAAGCCGAAGCACCATATGAGAGCAGTACCCAAGTAGCACACTGTGGTACTTGGGTACTGCTTTCATATTGTGCTTCGGCTTATATGGGAGTGGGGAGACGACTCCTTCCCCGATGTGGGACGGAGGTAAAGGCTACTGTGGGGCGAGTCCTGCTTTAGCCGAAATCCTTTGGTGGAGGGCGGGTTCCCAGTAATGGGAGGATTGCCCTTGGAAGACCTATATCCCGGTAATGGGAGGAGTCTTCACATAAAAGGCGCCTTTTATGTGAAGACCCTGCCCCATTACCGGGACCCTGTCTTCCAAGGGTTAACCTCCCATTACCGGGATATCACCACCCTCCACCAAAGGATTTCGGCTAACCTGTGGGTCAAACCCCCACAGTAGCCTTTACCTCCGTCCCACATCGGGGAAAGAGTCGTCTCCCTGGTACTTGGGTACTGCTCTCATATGATGCTTCGGCTTATATGGGGGTGGGGAGACGACTCCTTCCCCGATGTGGGACGGAGGTAAAGGCTACTGTGGGGGTTTGACCCACAGGTTAGCCGAAATCCTTTGGTGGAGGGTGGTGATATCCCGGTAATGGGAGGTTAACCCTTGGAAGACAGGGTCCCGGTAATGGGGCAGGGTCTTCACATAAAAGGCGCCTTTTATGTGAAGACTCCTCCCATTACCGGGATATAGGTCTTCCAAGGGCAATCCTCCCATTACCGGGAACCCGCCCTCCACCAAAGGATTTCGGCTAAAGCAGGACTCGCCCCACAGTAGCCTTTACCTCCGTCCCACATCGGGGAAGGAGTCGTCTC